TTTTATTATAATACTAATTTTTAAAAAAAAAAAATAAATAAAAAGAATATTTTTAATTTTTCATATAATAATAAAAATTTATTTAAAATATTTTATTTTATGAATATTTCTTTTATATCATGCCAATTTAAATCATAATATATGAATGTATTGTATTTTTTTGTAACATTTTTATTTATCTAATAAACTCAAGTATTGTAATTTATAATTTTAATAATTAAAAGTTTACATAAAATTAAATTATATATGAATATAAATATATAATTTGTACAATAAAATATTAAAAAAAAATAAATCTTTTTTTTATTGATTTCAGAGACTATGGAACTAAAAAAAATAATACAGTTAATTTTATTTTAATGTGTATTTATTTTTAATATCATATACCGATTTCAGGGTACACGGGTTTATCTTATTTTTCTGCGGCAGGGCACATAACGGAGGCAGCGTCTAAACATCAAATCCGTTTATTTGTTTGACTCGATATCTCTACTTTATTATGTCTACGTTTTTATGCCTCATCTGATCATTGATTGACTGGAGCACGAGGCATGTTTTTAAAAATGATTTATTACAATTTCTTAATACCATAATTGATCTTTCACGGTATTTCCTTTTGAGTGCAATGATATGAATATAAATGTATATAAAAAAAAGTAGTTTTGATTTTATGATATTTTTTTTTGTATTAGTGCAAAAACACATCGAATATAAGAGATACCGTTATATGATCATTGTATAAAATTTAAATTCAATGTAAAATATTTTTAGTATAATTTAAGTTTATAAGATGAACAAAACTTCTATTCTTTACAAAAAGCATGCTTTTGGTTTTTATTTCATTTACTTTTTTTATAAATTATTTCTATTTAAATTATCTATTTTAATCAACCATTAATATAAGGGTAGATACTGTTATCTTTTTCATTAATAATAAAGTATTGTCTAAAAGCATGGCGGAGCATATTTGGCTCCTTTTTTTTTTTTTGCTAATGCTCCAGTCAGTTTAATTATACATATTCTCTGTTCAAATATTATTCACGCATTAGATTATTATCCAATAAAATTCTAAAAAGAATCTTCATATATCATGAGCTTCTATATTTTTATCAATAGTTATATCCTTATTAATGCTCAGTACAGTACATTTGTGTATGTACAACATCGAGCAATCGACTAAGCATGCAGAGTTAAATAATTCTACAACGCTACGACCAATATGACTATATATCGATCCATAAAACAATATCATATCTCGATTCTATCCATTTATTACAGGAAATATTCCAAGGGATTATAATTTGACTAAATTGTCATATATAATCCATTAGATCTCTCTCTTAGATTCTCAAGCACTTTCCTATACTTATCGCAATTTTTTTAATGTAGACGCTTCAGTCTAAAAATGTGTAAAATCCAATTACATTTCAATATTTACAATACGTGTTAGACACGCCACAATTTACATAATATAACTTGGTGTTCATTTGAAATCTATTTTTTTATTTTATTTTATCAAACTTCAAATTTTTCCATTCCAATCGACATCTGTATTGTCGATATTTTTGAACATTATAATATTACAAAAAATCACACATTATATTTTCCATTTACGCATTTTCTTGGTGTTGATATTGTTCATTCTTCCTTGGCGCATTAAATATTTTTATATTTAAGAAATAGAATATAATTTTATTTCTTTTTTTACATTTGAAAAATTTTATTCGAATTATATTAAATTAATATTAAGATTTCTTGAAAAATTCCAGTTCAGGTGAATTTTAATAATAAAATGAGATTTTTTATCGACTTTGTCCACTCCATTTAATTGTTGCATGAAAATTTCAATCATTTATATAATTAAATTTATCAACTGAAATATAAATCTCTGTAAAAATTTCAAGTTTGGGTCCCTGTATAAACAAGCTTCTTTGGCTTTGTTTAACTCTTCATTGATTTTTCTTTTTCTGTACTAAAATGATTGTTCTATAATATTGAAAAAGAATATGCGCAACGAGCTTTCATGTTTTAATATATGTATGAATACATTATTTGCACAAACTTTAGAAAGCGGAGGTGTATATATGGAGGAAAAGAAAAGGAAAGAAAAGGAAAGAAAAGGAAAGGAAAGGAAAGGAAAGAGAAGTTTTCGTACATCGTACATCATACATTAAGCTATACACATTTTTTTAATGTTGATGTTTGTTAATTTCATCCTAACTAGCGCCAAAGCAGCGAATCACACCTACGTAAATTATCATTCCATTTATTTCTATGTGTATGTGTATATATATAAATTTTTCGGTATGTATATTTGTAATGTGCGGCTATACGGTGAAATCGCATGTCTTTGAAATCTAAATTTTTACCAAAAAAGCCGATCATTTATTTATCATACGACTGTTGTATGATTTAAGTTATCATTCATTTTTAAAAATGTTCTTCATTTGTTAATATTATCATATTTTATATTTTCTTGCTAAAGCGAAAATTATCATTAACGATACACAAACACATGATGATTGAATTATCGAACACCAATCATCAATTATAAAAATAACCAAGCGAAAATTCGAGATGTATTTCGAAAAAAACACTTATTTTGCTAATTCCTCGCATCCTTTTTGCATTTTTTCCGGATTTCACTGGCCATGTTCCGTAACATAATGTGAATGTATATTTAATTATGACAACTTCGGTTACGTACTGTACAAATTCAATAGGATTGCCATCATCAGTCCCAAGATTATAATTACGGTGGGATCACATGATTACATGAGGATAGTTAAGTATCTATGATAATTTTAAATAAAAGTTTTGAATTTCATCGATCAGATAGAAGAAGCATTTTCATTAAGAATATGCACAGAAAATAAAAAATAAAATCAAACAAATCAAATCTTATCATGATCTTAATTATCAACTATCTCTTTTAAATATTGTAAAAGTCAATATTAACAATTCAGTATTTTCTTCTTTATCGTAGTACGTATAAATTTTAATTTTTATTAAATATGGAAATGAATTATAAATGTATTAAAATGACTAAAGTAGTGTCTTTGTAAGACTCATTGATTTACAAACTCTTAACGAAAATAAACATAACTAATTTTAAATGACCTACTTTAAGTAACTATTTTCCTCTTTTACCCAGAATAAACATATTCTCATCTAATGTAACACAATTAATAATAAAAGTTTTTTTTATATGCATTTCCACCAGTTTTGTTCAAAATACTTTTTAATCGATCATATTATTTTTGATAAAATGATATTAAATTGGCAGATACAGCGAAACTGAACATTTGTTTGGAAGCATAAATAGAATTCAACGATACAAAATATATTTGTAATGTTGAATAGTCAGTAATCGTACTGTTTCGCTTTTTTCGTTATAAAATAGAAGACAATTTATCGGCAGAGAGCTTAATAATCAGTCAATAGCTCGAAGTAAAGAAGGTCGCGCAGAACTTAACACCGTATTTCTTTTTCTCATGATTATTTTATGAAATATTACCGAAATGTCAGTCATGATGTAGAAACTACTCTCTTTTTCATAATTGTACAATATATATATGATATATGCTTTTAGCAATATAAAGAAGTATGTAATAAATTAAATGAAAGAAAACATATACCACAATTATTGAATGTCAGTTATCGTTCGAAATCCGACAGTGTATATGATTTTACCAAAATTTCATGACTT